TGCTGTATGAATTCAAATTTAATTTGTTCAGTCATCCATTAAAACGGTTTTTCTGTCTCCCCTGCCACCAGTCCATCCCCTCTCCTTCAGTGTCTCGCGGTCTCTCTGCCTCTCTCTCTCTTACACTCTAGAAAGCTGTGTGGCAAATTGGAGCTCCGGCATTGAATGCCAATGAGTAAAGGGGAAAAAATACATATTGAGGGCACAGTGAACTTAAGCAATTAAATTAAAAAGTTATTAACTTTGGAATGAGGGACACTGCTCCCTTTCCTGTCACTGCCTGCAGCCAGAGGCTTCAGAGTTCAAGGAAACAGGGAAAGAAGACGGGAGAAGGGAGAGAAGAAGACAAGTGGAGGAAAAAAGGAGGAAGAAAAGACCAGAGAGATTTTAGAGGTGAGGGTGGAGGTTGTAAGCCCCTGAGCAAAGATGCATTTTAAAGCTGTGTGTGGTATGTTAATAATAATAAAAAACAACTTTACTATGTGCGGTCAGATACATGTCTGTGAACCTGCCCATTTGATCATTACACGCTTATTGTCTTAGACAAAGGACTGGCTTTTTGCCACTCTCACGCGCCAGAGCCTAAGTCAGCATCATTGTAGCATTGTGGACTAAAATTCCAAGGGAGTGAGAATCAAAGTTAATTAAGCTTTTGCTGTGCTTTGCACAAATAATAAGTTTTGGGCTGACTACTAATTAACCCTGAGAAACCGCTTCCTTTCAGTAGACTAAGTGATACTTGGAACTATATCTGCTTTTTTTTTTCTTACACAATTAACACTGTTCTACCGAGCATTACTAATTACTCTTCCGTATAATAATGGTCGTGTACTCTATGATAAATGGAAGAGTATTTGCTTTTAATGTGTGTTAGAATTTTAAAATGCTAAGAATTAATTTAAGCATTTGATCATTTATGAGTGTGTTGAGTTGGAGGCTGGGATTTAAAATCACTGAAATACCAGCCTGGCCCCTCTGTAGTAAAGGCATGTGTTTCAGTATAAATGACTGCTAAGTAGTGTTAATCATTTACTTATTAATTTTACAAAGCGGCTGGTCCAGTAGCCCCTAAAGTTTTGATCACATAAAAATGTTTCTCCACAGTAGACTGTATATAAAATATGGCAGTACTTCCTGTGCTGTCACCATTCAGTTTTGATACCTGTCATTGTGAAGCCTTAACTTTGCCTTTAAGGATGCTGTTTTTTTTGTCTTTCTTTTTTCTTTTTTTGAAGTCATATTTATCTAAGTTATCAAATAATGCTAGCAAGATTGAGAAACAGAGTGCATCTATAGACTATGTAAACTAGGAGCATCACAAAGATACTGACTAATCCTAATTACAGCTAAATAACAAACAAATAGCTGAAGCACAAGCTTCTTGGATGGCCTTTTAGTACAGTTGACCCCATAGAAAGCTGTATTATTTGACAGATAATTGCGTTAAAATGCAACAACAGGCATCAGCACCACTAACATTTCACTTGCATATCTCAAATTAGCTTACGTGACGCCAAGCACAGAACTAGTAGCTAATTCTCAGCTGAACCCAGTTCTGCTCCAGCAATGGGGAAAATAAAAGATAGTGACAAAAGCTTTTTTTCTTTTTTCTTTTAATGTGTGCATTTTTATTGTAAATGCTTTTCAGCCTAGAGGTTGCCACTTGACAAAAACAGACCTAAAGCATTAAAACAACAAACTATATATCCTATTTGTGGATAAATTAGCAGCAGATGACCAGTTTCCCTTTCTGCTGTGGGGTTTAGCATTGCTATCCCCGCAGCCTTAAACAAACAATAGCATGCTTGAAAACTCTCAGCATCAGTTTTCATTAAGGAAGCCTTCAACTATTTTGAGTGTAAGTCAAGAAAAAGAAATCTTTTCCTTGTGACAGAAAATGTGCAAGATGCTATAAATAGTGTTTCGTACAACAGACTCAAAGACTTTCAGACGACTGCTTGTTTTCATTTATGTATGTGGCCTTTTTTACATTTTTTTTCGTCAGCTGTGCATCAGGGAGAGTTTTTTTTTTTCATTACAAGGACATTATGAAGGCATCACACCCATGAGATAAGCCAACTCTAGACAAGCGTATCATGGATGACAAAGTAGAAAAAGATGAAGATTCAAAGACATTTTGTAAGCATATTGCAGAGGATGTGTGATATTCTGTCATATCTGATCCCCTGTGCTCCCAGCTCCTGTCAGAAGCCACGGATGAAAATATAGTCATATTCAGGTAGCGTACTGCAAAGTGAAGAATGAGCATCGGTGTTCTCAATGCATCAGGGTCATAAAGCATCATCCCAAAGCACATTAGTCTGTAGAGCCGAGTCAAGCAGGGGCAAAAATCGATAAAGCAAGTCTCAGAACAATAGCATGCACGCAGTTCTGCCACATTTTAGTTACTCTTACTACCAAATATCCTCAATAGGTTGCAAAAGCACAGAACCCTATGGAAAATCTGAAGTGTACTAGAACGATAATACTGGCGGAAAGGAACATATGAAGACAAGATACAGAGACATGAAGAGACGTTTCAGGCAAGAGGTGAATGAGTTTGTCCTCGCCTGGTGACAGATGCAATTCTGAGTTGTCAGTTACAACCTTCAGTTGGTTGCTCTAATTAGAAGAAAAGAAAAAAAAATCTTAAAAAAGGAAGTGTTAATTACAGGTTTTTACATTCTTTACCACAAGTTGCACTTTGCTGACCCCAGTTGAAATAGTCCTCTTTATAGCATTTACTGACACAGCTGACCCACGTTTGGTAGTCATACTGAGACCATTTATTGCAAAATCAATCAGGAGCATGTGCAATGCATTCACACCAGATGCTTCAAAATGGGGACTGTGACCACTTGATGCCACAGCAGTATGTCTCTTGGATCTGGAGGCACTAACCACGCAGGTGGTCTAAATCCCAAGATTGTCTCCTTTGAAATAGGAGGATGCTGGACCTGCTGACAGCACAAGAAAGCCCCCAGAAGCAGCTCCTCTAAAGATAATTTAGTTATAAACTTTTACTGCAGTGCTGCTCAGGCTATTTTAAACTAAGAAACATCACAGAAGGGACCTGTGAAGAGAGCCTTAGAGGGTTCAGGCATGTCACCTTTTTTTCCATTTCTTGCTATCTCCCAATTAACCATTTTCTTCTGCTGAACCATGACTAATACCTTACTCTGGTTTTTTACATGCTAACTATGAAGAGGCAGAGGAATAGAAATTTTCTCAATGTGCACTGATACTATATTGATTCCAATCAAGTGTTTTTGGAGCCATTTTTTTATACTCTTAGAGACTCTTCAGTCCGCAGATCTTTTAATACAGAGGATGCAAAACTCATTTTAAAACCAGTGTAGTCAGGGCTGGCCAGATCATCAAAATTATTAAAGAACAACCTACTGAAAATGTTTACATATATTGAGCCATCCATTTATGAAACAGTTGAGGAAAAAGCTACAGAAAGGTACACTTTATAAAATTACAATATTAATATTTCGTTCTTTTCCATATTCAGTCAGTCAACAGCATGGCTACTTTTCTGATCAACCAATGTGTATATGTGCCATTTGGTACACCATGGGAAACCTCAAGCCACACCCATGTTCTGTGCATAATCGGTACACGTGTAAAGACTATAGTATACATGGTTATGATGCTATCATGTTGCCAGAAGAAGCCAAAAATGGTCAAAAGAGCTTAGTAGTAAGTCTTGCTATTTACTAGGTCTCTCCAAAACCATGATTCCACACAGACTCAAAGAATAAAAAGAACTGTTGTTGGCAGCATATGCAAATTAACACTAAAAAGCAACCTACAGTTAGCAACACACCTTTAGCTGTTGTTGGTGCACATGTCAATCATATGTTAAACCTGCTCCAGCACTACAGAAAATTTGAATGATACATCCACAGTAAGGCATACATGTCTGTAAAGATTTTCTGTAATTCAGTCATGTAAGTATAACGTTCACTTCAGAATTTGATAACAAGGCATTTGTAAATGACACAGTTTTATGTTTAATCGTCTAAAATTGGCAGAGTAATGTACTATGTGGTAAGGGGTGCATGGATGGTAAAATGCATGGTACATGAGATTAAAAAATGAATGAATGAACTCTTCACACATGTTTTTAGTCTGAGGCTCATCCGCTCCAATCTCCTCGTCTCCCATTGCCAGACTTCAAAGACATCTCTGGGGAGAAGCTTCAAAACATTAAGCATGCAGGCTTCCTCAGGACTCCCACAGAGTCCCAAACTAGCCAAGAAACAAAAAGAAAGTTTCTCTCCAGCTATTTGTTTTAAAGTTGTTCTGTTAAAAAAAAAAGAAAAGAAAACGTCATTTGCTCTCTCTTTACCTGGCCTCGCTTTTATCTTGCACCCACTATTGTACTTCCCGTTAGCTTTTCCACTGTTTGTGTTATCCCTCTTTACCTTCTTTTCCCACTCTTGCTTCATCCTGCCTGTACCTTTGCAGTAGTCTCAAACAGAAGAGCTTAAATCATATCAGTGGTGGGAGCTTTGCCAAGTGCCATCCATTATACTGAAGCAGTGCTGCAATGTTGTCTCTTTTCTCATGTTTTTTTTTTTCATATTTCAGCTTTAGTCTCCATTAATCCCCTTTTTATTCAGCCCTCTTTGTGACATTAACTCAATTTCTTACACCATACTCATTATCTCCCCATCATATCTGCTCTCCCTCTGCTGTTACACTGTAGTTTTCTTGACCATATCTTCTTTCCAACTTCCTCTCTTTTCTTTGCTGTCAACATTTGCTGTTTTATATATCTCACTCTTTTACCCCTTTCAACTGAAGCCCAGTGTCTTTTTTTTCTCTTGCCAACCTTCTTGTCTGCTTTCTTGTGTCACCAAGAGTGGCAGCAGCCAGCAGACTTCCCGACAATGGTTCTCTTACATTGATTTTTTTTTTCTTTTCCTTTTGGCTAACCCTGTATATCTTTTCTTCTTCCCATATCATTTCCTCTTTTTTTTCTTTTCCAGGAATGGGTGACAGCCACTGACCTGCTCATCTCTTTGGACAGGCTTAACACCTTTGGAGATGAGTTTTTCAAGGACGCTAAAGTGCTGCGCTCGTACTTCTATGCCATCTCTGATTTCTCTGTGGGTGGCAGGTAAGAGACACCAGAAAATGTGGTGCCAAAGCAATGTCACCATGCTTGATACTCTCTGAAATAATAAATGTTGGGAACTAGTGTTGCTTAAGCAATTTTGATTTTTCGACTTCACTAGCATCTCTTTTTAAGGGAGTTATATAGTACCAAATGGCCAAATGTGTTTTAAAGTAAACTAATTCCCTGGCTGAGGTGTTACGGGTAGGTGGCTGGGCATGCAAAGCACAGATTTTACCCAGTATATCATAAGTTGATCAGTTTTAAGGTTTTATGTATCAGGACATGATAAAATGCATTTGGTTCTTAGCAGGTCTTCAAATGAAGTAAATACGACCTCAGATGAACAAGTGCACCTAACTTATTATCCCGTGTCACTATTCATTTAACAAAATGCAGAAGCACTGTTTGAAAAACTAGGTCTATGCCATGATTCAGTAACCCTTTTCTATGGTCCACTCATCTTAACGATGTTGTTTCAGTTCACTGAGGTTTCTAGGTAGTCATTTATTCACAGCTCCCTGTAGCTGCTGCCAAAGCAGTTAATCAGGTTGAAGTTTGATTGCACCTTGATTTTTCTTTTTTCTTTTTCAGCCATTCTGTTGTAGATTTGCTGTTATGGTCAGTACTAATGTTTTGTTGTATGATCCAATTCGGGCCAAGCTAAAGTTGTCAGATGTCACATTTAACTCTAGAACACTCGTGGTATACAGAGGAGTTCATGGTTGACTCAATGAATGCTAGGTGTCCAGGTCCTATGGCTACACAACAAACCCAAATCATCACCCCTCCACCACCAGGAACACTGCAGCTCCACTTTTTGTACAAACTAGACGAGTCTTCCAGAGGTCCTGTGGTTTTCTCAGATGCAACTTTGCAAACCTAAGCCATGCTGTGTTGTTCCTTTTAGAGAGAAGAGGCTTTCTCCTAGCAACTCTTTCCAATCAAGCCATCAGTCTTTTTCTTGTCACGAACTTTAGCATTTAACATGCTAACTGAGGCTTGTAGTGTCTGAGATAAGCTTTTCACAGTCTGACCTTGAGGTGAATTTATTGGGGCATCTGCTACTGGGGAGACTGGCAACTGTCTTGAATGTTGTGGGCTTGTAGAAATCTTTCTCACTGAAAAATGGTGAACTTAAGATTGTTTGGAAATGGTCTTTTAACGCTTCCTAGATTGATGGGCAACAACAATTGCTTCTGTAAGATCACAGCTGATGTCTTTCCTCCTTAGCGTTGTGTTAACACACACCTGAATGCTCTGGACCCACAAACTGCCGAAATTTCTGCTTTTGCTGATGATCAATTCATCATATGCCTTTGATTAGCAACAACTGGCTGCTACTTACCTTCTTAATTTCTATGAAAGCCGTAAGGGTGTGCTTAGCTTTTCAAACACTGCTTCTGCATTCTTAAATGTTGTTAATTAAATAATTTTACAGTGTATTTATTCATCTGAGCTTGAATTTACCTAATCTAAAAGCTTACTAAGAACAAGATGATTTTTACTATGCCCTGATACATAAACCCTTAGAACTTTCTTTTTACTGTACCATGACTCTGTGTGGCCATGGCAAGATAACATGCTGAACCTATATTCTGTCCTGCTTTCTGCCTGTCAAGTTGGCATCAAATGAAAGTAAACCAAGATAATTCTCAATTCTCCTTCCACATCCTCGGGTTTATTACTCATAGTAATGAAAGGGGACATGGTACCAAAGACCAGGCTGCACTGCACCTTGGCAGTGCAGATAGAACCAAACGATTAAGCAGCTGAGATGAAGCCCTCACAAAGAACGCAAAGTTGATCTGACATCTGTCATAAACACTTAGGATCTTTCAGCTGGATGACAAATTACCCACCAATGTCACAGCACGTGGGTAAGAGAGCCACATGGCCATTAGCCATATACTGGTGCTTTCTGCCTAAGTACACGTGTTTTTACACCACACGCTACAGGTCAAGTCAGCAAGCCAAATGCTATTAAAAAATCCTCCAGGTTTTCTACAATATATCAATAGTGCAAAAAGAGCTGTGGTGGCTTTAAGGTAAGAAAAACAAGCTTACGACCAGAAGGTCGCTAGTTAAAACCTTGGACCCTGGACGGGAAAGTGAGAAAACAGCACTTTCCTCTGTCTCATCAAAGAAAGGCCCTTAACCTCAGGTGCTCCAGCGGAGGTGCTCAGTGGTCAGCAGGGTATGCTTAAGTTATATAAGGAAGCTTCGGGGTCTAACTTTGTCAATGTGAAGACAGAATTTAGTGAATATATTTTGAGTATAGCGAAATAAAGTAATGTTGGAAACAACCCACTCATGAGACAGATGTCTAAATATCTATGAGAAAATTTAAAGTGCACACATTACATGCTGCCAGTATATTTCAGATCAACACTCTCATATTCACACCTCACTTCTAGCAGTCTAATATGTAGATCGGAAGCACCTCAGAGACAACGGAAACGAATGGGTGTGAGCCTCAGGCAAGCATACATCTGGTTCTGGGACAGCTGGCTAAATTTGACACAGCTTACCACTCAGCGACAAGTGCCTGTACCCCTGTCACAGCCACTTGACAAACCCAGTGACACTGCCAGGAAATAGTGCACACAGGAAGGCATATCTGTCATCATGCTTCAGAGGAAATAATCCACAGGCAGAGGGGAAGGAAATTAGCAGATAACAGTCTTATGAAAACTGAACTAAACAATCACGTTTAGCTCACAAATATTGACTTTTAATTTTGGAAGTTATTATAATTACTGAAGACGCAAAATTTCATTTATAAATTAAAAAAGAAAAGCATAGAGTTAATGCTTTTGCACATACTAACACAGTTACCAACAGTGCGTTACTGTAATCCGATTACTTTTTTCAAGTAACGCATAAAGTAAGGGATTACTATTGCAAAAACGGTAATTAGATTACTGTTACTTTCCCATAGGAACGCTGCGTTACTGCGTTACTAAAACCGTTTTTGCGAGAATGTCTCATGACAGTGACGTAAGCGAGTGCGACGTTCGTGACAACAGCTGTGTGCAGATCAACAATGGATAATATATCGAGTGCGGGAGAGAGTATGAGCGTGCAGCGTTTAAAGCGTGGAAGTACTGACCTTACTTTGAGTTTGATTCCATAAAAAGTGACAAAAACATTAGTGTGCGCTGTGCGTGGGAAGAAAACTTCTTTTTACAGCGAAAAAAAACCCCTAAACTTCCAAGCAAGCACCGAGTGCGCTACGACGTAATGGGAAATTCACAGAGAGTCTTCAACTGACCGCTGCGGCACACCTGCACCAGGGCAAATCTCCGCCTGCTATACAGATGAAAATAGAGCAACAGGACGGCTAGTCTTTGACTTTATTTCTTTTCTGCTGTGTTTTACTTGCATCTATTTGAAAGAGTCAGTGTAAACACAAATATATATATATATATATATATAATTTTTTTTTTTTATGTGCTGGAATGTGCAGAAAATAGGTTTAAATGTTGAACAAATTTCTTCCAGTCAGAGAATGTTGCATATAATTAAATCTTTGTTTGATGCATAAAGTTAAAAGATTAAAACTAATAAGAGAAGTTTTAAAAAGAGACTTTTCCATTTGATTACATTTTGTATGATGGATTATGCAGAAAAAGTAGAATCGGGCTGAAAGATCTATCGCTTTATCACCTATTCAGGTTGTAAATCGTGTTTTTAAAAAGTAACTAAGTAACTAAGTAATTAATTACTTTTGAAAATAAGTAATCAGTAAGGTATCAAGATTACTTTTTTGGGGAAGTAATCAGTAATTAGTTACTGATTACTTTTTATAAGTAGCTTGACCAACACTGGTTACCAATATTAGAGATACTGCACTCACTTGTTGCTGTTTCTGATACACTGGGTGAGTGTGAGTGTATTATTAGTGGCATATTAACACAGTTGAAAAGTGTAGTTGCTGAAGGGGAATAAAAGCCCTGCCTCACCCCAGACCACGTTTTCATCGGTGGAGGATAATAGAAAGTGACAACTTCTTACAGGGGAACTACCTTCCCGCTTTCCTTCCGCCTTCAAATTCATTCACTGTGTGCATAACTGTGTCCAAATTTGTGTGAGTAAAAAGAGGAGGAAAAACAGAGACAAACAAAAGCTTGTACATGCAGACTTTACCTAACTATCGATGTTTCCCTCAGATGTAAGTGTAACGGCCATGCCAGCGAGTGCATTGAGCGAGAACATGGTAACCTGGTCTGCGCCTGCCAGCATCACACAGAGGGAGCCAACTGCCAGAGATGTCACCCCTTTTACCAGGATAGACCCTGGGCCAGGGCCACTGGGGACTCTTCCAATGAGTGTTTGAGTGAGTAGCTTGATCCAAGGGTGACACTGTGAACCCACTGGATGCAGCCATCTGGAAAATACACGTGCCAGTGTTAAATTCAAATGACATTCTCAGGCTGTCAGAGATCCCACTTAATCCATCAGTGTGCTACCTCACATCAATCCCCAGTATTTCTTAAATCTCGATATGTTCACATGCACCTTTTGTCTTTTATTGTGCGAGTTAGTAAATACAACCACTCATCACTGTTGGGGAGGATAAAAAGCACGTAGTCTGGAAGTCCTCGTGGAAATCACTGAACTTTACTGATCTTCATTATGCTCTAGGCTGAATGATTTTTTATTATGCTGAACTCAGCTTTACACATAATTTAACAATACATCTGCCACCGCAGATGACCTTTTTTTTTCTTTTTTCTATTTTTGTGTGCAAAAGTTGCCAGTAAAGGAAATAATCTGATGTATTTAAAATTGTCTGATTGCAGAGCCAAACAGCTGAGAGATCCCTGGAAGATTTGTGTATATTTGATTTTTGGCTCATATGCACAAATGTTTGCAGGCATTCTCCCACCGTTGCTTCTGTATATGTGATTTAGCTGAGTGTTATCGGGTTTGGCTCGTCAGACCATGCATTCCAGCTGAATCCTGCTGACGATTAACCCTTCTTTTTTTCCCCTGAATTCTATTAAGCAGCAGACTTGCTCTAATTACTCTTGCACTTGCTTCCGAGCAGATGGCATCTTAAATAGACTTCTGCACCCAAATTAATCAATTCTGTGCATTACTATAGACACCTTATAAAAGCACCAGAGAATGCGAAAGTGCAAAAAACCAAATGCTCATTGTAATTGTTCATCTCTGTCTGGCAGAAGATTCATTTTGACTGAGTTTGCCCCAGCCAACGCCGAAACAGTAATCACTGCTTTTAACTACTTGTGATTACAATCAGCAAATCAAAATCAACATACACTAAATACACAGAGTCATGTAAACAAAAAAAACAGGGTTTTTGGTGTTTAAACTAATTTCTGACAAAATATTATTTTATTAAACTTCATCATCAAAAGGCTGGACAGTCTACATAAACATATGTAGTGTTGTCGAATGGAAGAGGTTCAAACATAAGGTCTGTGGGCCAGAATCGGCCCAAAAAAGACTCCAACCTGGCCCACTGGACAGCTGTGGAAAATGTGAAGGAGGACATAAATTTTGGACTATTAACAGCATTTTCATAAACAACTTATTGTACTGACAAACACCTCACCCACAGCCATTCATACTACATTAATAAAGTAATAAATAAACAATTAAATGACAAAAAAAAGTTCCTGTACTATAGAAACGTCTGTTTGTTTTACAGTGTGTACACAGTTAAATCAATAATGAGAATTTTCTTTGAATGAACAGAAACTTGCCACTTTATGATTACAGGGCAGTCTTGGCAATGAGATATCAGACTTTTCAGTAATTTTACACATGAATTTCTTACAGTTTAAGCCCAAAGAGTCATGCTGAGTCTTTCATTTACTATAGTGTTTCTTTATCATGTAGAAAAACTGAGACAGTCTATTGAAGTAACTCTTCTTTTTCTTATTTTGAGATATCTCATGGATTAAACTTGTCCGGCCCACTTAAGATCAAAGTGGGTTGTAAGCAGGCCCACGATGCAAAATCTTGTTAGAGTCTGTAAATGAAGGACTTACAGGGTAAGTTTCCTTTAAAATATATTACCCCATAAACTAAAAAACATGCCTTATTATACGAGCTATAAAATAATATAGGCTGCAGTACAAAGTTTAAGATTTAGTGTTTTATCTCCAGTTTTATGACTACATAAAAACGTCCTTTCCTCAATTATGATAATTTTACATAAAACACTGTAAGTTTTGATATGATTCACTGGCAGGCATTGGGTGTTATATATATTTTGTAATTTATTAGCCATGCAACCCATTATATTAGCAAGGGCAGTGTTTGGATTTGCAAACATTCATAGCGACATGTAGACTGGCGTGTGTTAACAATATGGATCATTTCAGAGAATTTAGATGTATTCTTGTTAAACACATTTTTCTGCATTTATTGTGGATGTATAATGTATCCATCCATCCATCCATCCATGGATTGAAATCTATCCCTGCTGACACTGGACAAGAAATAGGGCACACCCTGCGGGTCAGCATTCAGTCAAAGGCCTGACACATACTATAGAGGCAGGCAACCATTTACACCCCTATTCACACCTAAACGTTGTAAATCTAACTTGCATGTCTCGCGTGTGGACAGTGAGAGGAAACTGTAGCATGCAGAGGGAACCCATACAGGCAGAGAGAGTGCCACATCATTTTATTGATGATGATGGTGATTGATGTGGTCATTGTTTAAAGACTGCTATTCAAAAAAATATGTTTTTAATGATTATTAGTTTTTTCTAGTGGTACTAGTAGTAAGCCAGTTTTCCAACTTTTTCTAAATCAGCAGGTAGTAAAGCTAAAATGATAACAACAGAAATTTGTTTCTCAATAGACTTTAATGTAAAAGGTTTTCATTATCTTAATATAAATTGATTAGCACACAGCAGCTGCTGCTACTAACAGAGCAAAAACATAGTAACACAAAGATATTAAAGTTATGTTTGTGGCCCATTTAAAAATTAGCTACCCAGATTATACAACGTCAGTTTAAGAAAAAATGAACAAAAAAACATCCAGAAGACTCTGGTGAGTCAAGCATCTCTTTTAATTGATATTTTTACACAGATAATCTTTTAGAACTGAAAATAAACTGCACCAGATGAGACCTTTAAAGATTTTTTAACTCTTGAAAGCTAACAATACGGCAATAATAAAGACAAAACATGAATTTTTTAAAACAAACACCAAGTGACACCCAGTTAATTAACTTCCTATTTTCTGCAGTCACGTCTTTAACATAATTAACTTGTAGCTTCATATCATATATGATCATCTCAGAAAATCCAATTTATTAAATTTGTCTCTTAATCATTGCAGTTTTTGTTTGTGAGCACACGCAATGGGTTTGAATGAAGGATCAGATTCCTCAAAGGCTTTCCATTTCAGCACAAGATAAAGCACTGCAGTGTTAAGTAAACGATTACCCACATTTACCAGAATGCTTAAAACAACACGAATAAGCACAAGTACAGTCATTCCAAATAACCCAGTGCTGACCCTGGATGGAATGTGTCAGCACAATGCTTTGGTCAATTGGGAAAATTTGCATAATCTTCCCACATAAAATGACACTTGACACATTACCCATCGTGTTTTAAAGAAAGAGTATGGTTACCTTTTTTTTTTTTTTTGTAATACCATGTGACGATGATCATGTTTGACATAGAATTAGGGCTCGCAGTAATATCAGCAGGCTGATTAAAATAAATGGTTTGTTAATAAGATGACTAATTTCTGTTTTGCAGATTAACAGAAAAGCATCTGTTTTATCTTCTTAGCTTTATTTCAGCCATAAAAACATAAAAAAAACTGTCACAGTTCCATCAGTCATAATTTATGATCTTTACAGGGCACAATGTTCGGGGAGTTTCAGATTTAGAGCCTCATTTAAAAGAAGAAAAGGAAGAAAAGTGTGACAATCTTGCAATTATTACCGCTGTCTTTGCTGTTGTTCTTGTCTGAACAGCAATAGCAGGTGGTAAATGGAAGCTTTAGGTGGCTTTTTACAAGAGTTTTTTCAATATTATGTGAACGTGACTCTGTGTGTTTATGAGTAATTTTAATATTAGTGTGGTTTTTTTATACAAACTTGAATTCAGACTGTATTTTGTTTAGTTTTTGTTTTTTACCTGGCTAGGTTTTTTTGGTCTTAAGGTGTGGAGAAATAACACAAACCTTTTTGCTACAATTTGCTCTGTGTGTGTGTGTGTGTGTGTGCGTGCGTGCGTGTGTGCGTGCGTGCGTGCGTGCGTGCGTGCGTATCAGGAGTGCAATGGAACGTCATTCTCATCAAGATTCTCCCCCTCTGAGACTGAAATCATTTATAGCCTGGGCAGGTTGCTTTGGGCCTTCACCATTTTTTGTTGTTTGCTTGATGTTGGAAGTGGCTTAGCCTGAGGCTGTTCCAGTAGGTACATGCTTTAAATCCCTTTTTTTAAACCACTGATTTATTGCTGATCCCGTTGTAGCTTGTATACTGTGATAATTTTGTTGCATACCTATTGTGAGGTCGACAACAAGGTAGATACATCACATACTTAACATTTTATTTCGGCCCCCTAAACTCCTGCTGTGAAAAAAGATGGTTGGGTAGCACCCAGTAATAATCATGCTATTTAGCATTAATAAGGTTTTATTATAGTATTAGCATCAACAACGTTAGCATAAAACCCACATAGATATATAAACTATAAACATTTAATATTGAAAACCCAGCTGCTAAATGTTCATGAAATTAGCTTGCTTTAAAGTAGCCAGGTCAAGATCATCATCAGCAATTGCAGGTTGAGAAATTTTTCTAACATTAATTTCACACTAAGCTGAAAATGATGATAAGCTGGTGTAGAATATACAATACCAAGACACTTACTTAGTCTGCAGTTGATTAGTTAATCAACTGTATTTGATCATCAGTAAGTTTGTGCACCTGTGTAAAAGGTTTTGTCAAATTGCTTTCAGGAGCATTTAGATGTGTGTCAATATAGTGTCACAATCTACCCAGGAGTGGATGTCACAGCAAGTTCACTCATAGGTCAGACTGTACGATGCTCAGACAAATCGCAAGTGCTAGGTCTCAGTTAGCATGTGAAACATTAAAGCTCCTGATAGTACAATTACAAAATGACTGAACAAGTATGGCTTGTTTGGCTGCCAGAGAAACTCTCTAAAACAAACCTGGCAACATGACTTAGCTTTGGAAACCACAACAATTCTATATAAATGTCGGCAAAAACACCTCATACCAACTGTCAAGCACAATGGTGGAGGGTCTGGACTTCTTTAAGTTGCTTGAAGACGTTTCACCTCTCATCCGAGAAGCTTCTCG